CTGTATGTGTGTAGCAGACCTGGGGTCATTTTATGACCTAAATCTCTATACGTGCATACTAAATTGTATCAAGTCTAATTAGCTCACTCTGTAGCAACACGAGAACAGGATCTGACCTTGGAGCTTGTTTGCTGCACATATGGAAATGAGATGTTTGTTTATTAGAAAGGTTCATTTTTGTTTATCTTAATACAATTCTCACATGTCCATATGTTCATTTGCAGAGTTACTGGCAGTTGTAGTTATTCCTCCTCTCCACACTGTGTCCTCAAAGTGCAGCTCCAATTTAAGAAATGGGAGATGAATTCCACAAATTATAAAGTTATTCTTCTTAATGCAAAATCCTCTGAGCCCAGTTTAAACCATGACAGTGTGACAGACAGTAACTCACACACCAGGACCCGAAAACTGTTGCCGCTACATGTAATTTGCGTTATTATTTACACCTGTGCTTTTCCAGGCGAGTACTGATTGCTGCCTCCTGATTGGTCCACCGGATGACATCAGTCCTATTTGAGCTTCAGCATGACACAGAGAACCAGCATTTTGTGTGTTTTGAGATGCATCGTGGTGTGTTTCAGTTGGGCCTAATGTTTACTTTTGATAACGGTATTTTGTCTTCAGCAATCTTTAGAGTGTTGTTTCACTGCTTGTTTATGTTAACTTACTTAACTATACTGCAATTTATATGTTTTTCCTTGAAAGTGGATTGGAATTGTATTGATGAGTGTTTCGGTCTATATTTACTGTTAGTCTGCTTATTTATTTTTTTCCTTTTTATCCGCAATGTCCCCTTTCCCTTAACAATGTTAATAAATACAATATTTATGACTCATTTGTAAAGATTATCTTGCTGAACAAAATGTGTAAGCTGAGTAAAACTGGTGTTTTTCACAATGTTCCACTTGCAAAGTCTTAATACTACGTGTTAAAATGGGCACTTTATATGAATATAGTATTCATCAAACAACATGAACAATCAACAAATGTGCATGTTACTTATAAAGTGAGCTAAACAATAGCCAGGTGCTAATATCAGCATGCCTACAGTAGCATGAGGCAAAAGCAGTGCAGCTTGGACTGATGAAAATGTAACAATAGGTCCAGAGCAGACAATTTGACTTTTCATCGGTAAAGAATGGCTTGGTTTGGGCTTTTAGTCTTATTTAACGGGTGATCAATTGAGTTTCAAGAAACTGTGTCTCAGGGCTTCTTAACATTTAACAACCTATTAATGTGTCATACCCACTTTACGGGAAGAAACTCAGCTAACTGACGATACGAATCATTTTTACCGAAACAAAACACAAGTCTAACGCCGAGCCTATGAATTAGCTCTAAGCGAAAGAGTGCTAACGCACTTAGCACATAACTCACGGTAGAAATATTGTATACTTCATCGGATCTGCACAAACTAGATATCATATGAAAGCTGATATTCCACAGATACCAATGGTATAAGTATCATCACTGCGTGACCAAAACTCGCGGCAGCGAAAGCCAGCAAAGACAACACACAACTTCACTTTACGGGGCCAAAACGGCAAATACGTCTTACCTTTGCTGTTTTCTGATCAGAAGTTGTGTTCAATGGCATATAAACGCTGCTGACGGTTAATCCAATGTCTCTGTGTCACTTTGAAATGATTATTGATAATCCATCATAACATTTATGTCATAAGAGTAGTTTTCAGCTGCTATGAGAGCTACGAGAGTGTGACAACTTCCGGTTTTGGGGATGCTGGCTGCGCATCACTCTCATTCACCAATGGTAATGTTTAGATGGATTTAGGAACCTCCCCTCGATTCTATTGGCTCTGACGGTTAAAAAGAGATGTCAATCACCAAAATCGACCGAGGGGGGCCAGACATATGGAAAATGCACCCAAATGACCCCAGAAGTGATTTCTTTTTGCTAAATCTCTCTTAAAAAGGTCAAATATCACTTGTTTTGCATCAATCTTGATACAGGGTACTTATTATATGCTATAGTTTGGATTCCTAAAGCTTTTAGTCTACTAACCCATCATTCAAGGGTGGTTTTCTCTATAAGTAATGTTTTTCTTTGGACGGAAACTATTATTTACACTTTTTTACTATGTTCAATCTGAATTTACTTTAACATTTAAAATATATATATTGATTCTGACTCTTCTACATCCAACTCACAGGTTTATCATTGCTTTGAGAAAACATATTATGAATTTACCCCTTTTAGAAGTGAAGATATGGTCATTTGTTCTGGGCATGTCATTTTCGCGCCTGAAACCTGAAAAACAGGCTCGGGGCTTAACAGGTTAATAATTCCTCTGTTCCTCCAGCCTTTCCCCATTATTATTTTGGTCGTTTCTCGGGCTCAGAGGGTGCAGCCGGCTGTGTTTGCTAACCAGAGCAGAAATAAACTGTTTGTCCACCATCTTCATAATCAACCCCTCCCATTTCTATCCACCCAAAATACAGTATAAATACCTACAATCTGTTACACACTGCACGTGCATTCCTTGTTTCTCAAACACTACACACAAAGGCATCTTTCTTTTTCTCAATTGGTGGCTTTTCTTTCAAAATAGCAGTTAAAAATAAAGCTGTGAGCATGTTAATATTTGTTGATGTCTTGTACTGTACACATCAGTCAAATGCAGACACAGTGATTACTTGTGTCAGGTTGGCATTAATGAAAGCAGGTTTTCTCTCTGTTTTCAGCGCCGGTTTTCCCACCACCACATACAAGACGCCAAAAATATATATAAGCTCTTGTTTATATGTCATATATTTAGGCTTGGATTCATTGAGTGCCACAGAGTTTTCCAAAAGCTGCTTCTTCAATAGCAACTTTTGTATTCAGCCTAATTCAATAGTACAACATTGTCACTCATGTCGCCAAAATGGACAACAAGGAACAACTCTGCAAATACCTGAGCTTTTCCCGCCTTTTTTAGCTAACGGTAAAGCACACTAACTATATTGTTGTGGTTTTAGTACTCCATCAACCTTTGTAAGCAGCTTCTGTTGTCAAAAAAGGCTAACTAGCTTTACTAAAAGCTGCCCAGTGAAAAGCTAGTAAAAAGGAAGAAAGCTAACTATGCAGAAATGGTATTAGTTGAGGCGTGTTAGCCTTAATAAGCTAATATATATAAGTGTGGTTTGATGCTGTCTGTGTTTCTGCTAAGCGACTGTTACACAATTGATTCACACTTTTAAAAAATCCAACTAAAAGCTTTTAAAACGACAACAAAGAACATTGACAATGCTTTTCACAGCAGAGCCCTTCTGTGTAACTGTGTAAATTAAAAAAGAATATATAAATGCAATTATCTTGTGATTTACATGAGATAATGCTCTTCACATTAGCAAAGCAAAACCTGGTTTTTCAAACAAATGTTTTTGCTTTTAATTGCAATTTTTTCTCTGAATTGTGGATTTGGATATAACATCATATTGTAAAACAATTGATCAAGTGTGTCTTGATGTCCACACATTTGTTTCTCATTGAATTACCTTTTATTGTACCTCCATACTATACTTAGTTTTTAAATTAATTGTTATTATTATGCTATTTTATAACAATTAAATGGACACAACTGTAAGTGCAACAGCAAAGCACGGTGAAATGCGACATTCAAAAGATAGAAAGACATAACAAATATTAAAATGTAATATATTTATTGAAACATTTAAAGTCCAATTAAATACATACAAATACGTCAACAGTTTGAAATAAACAGAATGACAGACTTAAAATAACATTTAATATATTTATTTAGAAATAGAAAACAGATATACAGACATCCAATAAAGTTATAAACATATAATAAGGAGAAATACGTAGAATCACAGACATAACATATAATAATAATAATGACAATAATAATAATAATACACAATAATAAATAGTAACACATAATAATACATCATTATCAATCATAATAATACATAACACCTAATTATCAATCATAATAATACATAACACATAATTATCAACCATAATAATACATAATAACACATAATAATACATAACACATAATTATCAATCATAATAATACATAATAACACACAATAATACATAATAATAATAATAATAATAATAATAATACTTTCAAATGTAATTATCTTATTTGTACAGGTGGGATGAAATGCTAATTAATGCCCAGTGTGGAAAAAACAAGTCATTTTAAGCCCAAGTGACAACAAACCCTCCCTCAAGCGGAATAACTCTCATAATAATGATTTAACCAGGCAACGATCAGTGTCTAATGGGCCTAAAGAAGAGAGGAAGTGCTCTTTAAAAGGAAGCCAGTGTGTCCTCCTCTCTCCTGGGATACAGCTAACAATCATGCTGTTTACATTTATACTTTTACACTAAGATTTTATATAAAGATGTCCGCCTGCGTTCTTCCCCGTCGTTCCTTCTAGTGTCGGCGCTCTCCCCCGTAGTTTTGGCTCTCCCCCGTAGTTTTGGCGCTCAACACCATCGAACTTGGCGCTCTCCCGCGTCGTTCTTCTGCGCTCTCCCATTGCTGACATCAATACTCACCCATTGTCGTCTGCGCTCTCCCCCGTCGTTCTTTCTGCACTCTTACCTGTCGGGCGTTGTAGCTCTCCCCCGTAGTTTCGGCGCTCTCCCCCGTAGTTTTGGAGCCCTCTCCCTTGTAATTTCAGTGCTCTCCCCCGTAGTTTCAGTGCTCTCCCCCGTAGTTTTGGAGCCCTCTCCCTTGTAGTTTCAGTGCTCTCCCCCGTAGTTTCAGTGCTCTCCCCCGTAGTTTTGGAGCCCTCTCCCTTGTAGTTTCAGTGCTCTCCCCCGTAGTTTCAGTGCTCTCCCCCGTAGTTTTGGAGCCCTCTCCCTTGTAGTTTCAGTGCTCTCCCCCGTAGTTTCAGTGCTCTCCCCCGTAGTTTTGGCGCTCTCCCCGTAGTTTCGGCGCTTTCCCCCGTAATTTTGTCTCCCTCCCCCATAGTTTCAGCGCTCTTGTAATTTCAGCCCTCCCCCCTTAGTTTTGGCGCTCAACCCCATCGGACTTGGCGCTCTCCCCCTTTAATATCTCCCTCTCTTGACACACCTGGGCTCCTCCTCCCCCTCTGGAGGATCCCCAGGGCGTCGCTTTCTCTTCCTGGTGCTCACAGACGAGCCTTCTGTGGGATAAAAACGTTTAAAAGTTTTAAAAACCTCCAGACAAATTACTGATTTGTAATGTATACAGGACAGTAAAGGAAAGTAACTAAGTACATTAAGGTACTTCATGTTGTACAACTTTATACTTCTACTCTACTGTATTTTGGAAGCAAGTATTATACTTTTTACTCATCGGCATTTATTTTATTTGACAAATTGACTTACTAGATACTTTTAAAAATTACGATTTTGCAATACTTAGGAAAAACTTATAAAATATGATTATTTGGTATCGAATATATTTAAGTAACTCAAGGCTGGTGAACTGAACATTTATTGGCAGCAATTTAACTTCACAGTCCCAGCTTCTTAAATGGGAAAGTTTGCTGCTTTTGCTTTAAAATATTAAACAAATATTTAACATTATAGGGAGGCTGTGGCGCAGTGGCCTAGTGTGTTGGTGTTCGGATCAGGGGGCACAGGTTCAAGTCCCACTGCAGTCAGCATGTCGTTGTGTCCCTGAGACACTTCACCCCAAATTGCTCCTGTGGGGATTGCCCTCAGTATCGAGTATGTAAGTCGCTTTGGATAAAAGCGTGACATGTAATGTAATTATGTTCTGCAATGAGTTCATTTACTCCTAACACCTTAAATACATTTTCCTAATCGTACTTAAATTCTACTTGAGGACGATTCTCGATGCGGTACTTTTACTTGAAATGTAGTACATCTAAAGTGTAGTATTAGTACTTTTACTCAAGTAAAGAATCTGAATACTTTTCCCACCTCTGAAACAGGACAAGGTTAATCAATTGAATACATCTCAAAGATGAGCTTACGTGTGTTTGTCTCCTCCTCTTCCAGGCTCGTCTTCCTCTTCTTCCTCTCCGGAGAGCCGCTGCGTTCATTTCTGCACGGAAGAAACTTGTTTGAATCTCTTGACTTTTAACAGTGATTTGAGTAAATCATTACAAACTGATAACTTAACACCTACTTTGACTCGATGTGGGACGCTAAGAAAGTGTCCCACGTCCGCTTTCTCCCGGGTTTTCTTTCCGCTTCTTCAGAATCATCAAGCTTCCTTTTCTTCCTCTCCGGTGAGGAATTGATTTGCTTTCTGCATTTTAAGAAGGTTTTTTTTTGTAAGTGTATAATGACGATAAAGGTTTCTATTCTATTCAAACAGTACAGACAAATATAATAACACCTACTTTGACTCGATGTGGGACGCTAAGAAAGTATCCCACGTCCGCTTTCTCCCACGTTTTCTTTCGGCCTCAGAATCATCCCTTTTCCTTTTCTTTCTCTCCGGTGAATCCTTGACTCGCTTTCTGCATTTAAAGAAAGTTTTTTTTAGTTTTTAACCACATTAATTGTAACAGTGAGCTTCAAACAGTAAAGACAAATATAATAACACCTACTTTGACTCGATGTGGGACGCTAAGAAAGTGTCCCACGTCCGCTTTCTCCCGCGTTTTCTTTCGGCCTCAGAATCATCCCTTTTGATTTTCTTGCTCTCCGGTGAGCCCTTGACTCGCTTTCTGCATTTTAAAGACATTTTTATTTTTACCTCATTAATTCTTACAGTGAGTTCTAAAACAGTACAGACAAGAGAATAACACCTACCTTAATCCAGAGGCTACAAAAGTGTCCCACGTCCGCTTTCTCCCGCGTTTTATTTCGGCCTCAGAATCATCCCTTTTCCTTTTCTTTCTCTCCGGTGAATCCTTGACTCGCTTTCTGCATTTAAAGAATGTTTTTTTTTGTTTTTAACCACATTAATTGTAACAGTGAGCTTCAACCAGTAAAGACAAATATAATAACACCTACTTTGACTCGATGTGGGACGCTAAGAAAGTGTCCCACGTCCGCTTTCTCCCGCGTTTTCTTTCCGCTTCTTCAGAATCATCAAGCTTCCTTTTCTTCCTCTCCGGTGAGGAATTGATTTGCTTTCTGCATTTTAAGAAGGTTTTTTTTTGTAAGTGTAAAATGACGATAAAGGTTTCTATTCTATTCAAACAGTACAGACAAATATAATAACACCTACTTTGACTCGATGTGGGACGCTAAGAAAGTATCCCATGTCCGCTTTCTCCCGCGTTTTCTTTCGGCCTCAGAATCATCCCTTTTCCTTTTCTTTCTCTCCGGTGAATCCTTGACTCGCTTTCTGCATTTAAAGAATATTTTTTTTAGTTTTTAACCACATTAATTGTAACAGTGAGCTTCAAACAGTAAAGACAAATATAATAACACCTACTTTGACTCGATGTGGGACGCTAAGAAAGTGTCCCACATCCGCTTTCTCCCGGGTTTTCTTTCCGCTTCTTCAGAATCATCAAGCTTCCTTTTCTTCCTCTCCGGTGAGGAATTGATTTGCTTTCTGCATTTTAAGAAGGTTTTTTTTTGTAAGTGAATAATGACGATAAAGGTTTCTATTATATTCAAACAGTACAGACAAATATAATATAACACCTACTTTGACTCGATGTGGGACGCTAAGAAAGTATCCCACGTCCGCTTTCTCCCGCGTTTTCTTTCGGCCTCAGAATCATCCCTTTTCCTTTTCTTTCTCTCCGGTGAATCCTTGACTCGCTTTCTGCATTTAAAGAAAGTTTTTTTTAGTTTTTAACCACATTAATTGTAACAGTGAGCTTCAAACAGTAAAGACAAATATAATAACACCTACTTTGACTCGATGTGGGACGCTAAGAAAGTGTCCCACGTCCGCTTTCTCCCGCGTTTTCTTTCGGCCTCAGAATCATCCCTTTTGATTTTCTTGCTCTCCGGTGAGCCCTTGACTCGCTTTCTGCATTTTAAAGACATTTTTATTTTTACCTCATTCATTCTTACAGTGAGTTCTAAAACAGTACAGACAAGAGAATAACACCTACCTTAATCCAGAGGCTACAAAAGTGTCCCACGTCCGCTTTCTCCCGCGTTTTCTTTCGGCCTCAGAATCATCCCTTTTCTTTCTCTCCGGTGAATCCTTGACTCGCTTTCTGCATTTAAAGAAAGTTTTTTTTTGTTTTTAACCACATTAATTGTAACAGTGAGCTTCAACCAGTAAAGACAAATATAATAACACCTACTTTGACTCGATGTGGGACGCTAAGAAAGTATCCCACGTCCGCTTTCTCCCGCGTTTTCTTTCGGCCTCAGAATCATCCCTTTTGATTTTCTTGCTCTCCGGTGAGCCCTTGACTCGCTTTCTGCATTTTAAAGACATTTTTATTTTTACCTCATTAATTCTTACAGTGAGTTCTAAAACAGTACAGACAAGAGAATAACACCTACCTTAATCCAGAGGCTACAAAAGTGTCCCACGTCCGCTTTCTCCCCGGTTTTATTTCGGCCACACGGATCGTAGGCTCTGGATAAAAGGACAAAGCAAAGGTCAATCAAAAACTGATTAAATGAATCACCAGATTCTTAGATTCATCCTCCTGTGAAACATCCCCTCTTAGTTTCAGATTTAAGATATCTGTTGCAACAGCTGTGTGTAAGTATAAAATACTCAATATTATTTATGAACAGTTGCCTACTTTTTGGTGTCTGGATGATTTCTGTGTTCCTGCTCTCGCTCGATGGTCTGTCTCTCTCCGGGTTGCTGCATTGACAAAAAAACGGGTTTTAATATCTCCAATTATAACTGCAAATATCATAATATAACAAAAATAATTATTGCGTTAATTCTTTTCTTTAAACAATATTTAGAAATGTTGTGTTAAGATATGCAAACAAGGCATTATATCCTTTCAAATGAGCTAGTTTGTTTACATTTTCTTGAACACAAATCTTTCATTATTAAGTAAAACCAAAACATTGACATATTAAATACAAAGGTTTAACTAAAGGAATATCCATTAGTATCACTACATAAATCAGAACACACTGTCTAAAGCCATACAATAAATCACATTTTTGATCAATAAACTACACAAACATCTGTAAAAACTTTCTAGAAAATGGCTTTTAAAGATGTGTAAAGTAAAAATGTATGTACAGACGTTTTGCAAGACACTGCAGGAAACAATATTTGTTGTATTACAAGATGTGTAAATATACAAACAAATGCATTTATATGAAGTAAATGAAACACTTCTGTGTGTAATTTGCACGTTTTCTCTACTACACTGATCGAAGACATGTAATAGAAGAAATGTCCTAAAATGGACCTGTGTGTGTACATAAAGATCTTCTGTCCTACAACACTTACCTGTCGTCACCGCGGGGTTTTCTCCTCGATGATTTCCTCAGCGCCTTCCTCCCGGTTCTCTCTTGTTGGCAGGGTGGAGCCGCAGTGCTAACCTGCAGTGGCGGCGACACAGGCTTTACAGCAACAGGCGATTGAGGAGGGGGTTGTTGTTGTTGTTGTTGTTGACTCTCTTCATCGTTTATGGAGAGGCTGTCCGATACCTGGGACGAGATGCCCAGGATGAGGGGGTGTTCTTGGGTCCTGAACCAGGCGGGGGGGCCCTCTGCTCCGCTGATGGAGGGCGACAGGTTCATCTGACCCCCGTCAAAGCCCTCACTCTGATCCAGGCAGACCTCCATCTTTTCACAGCTGGATTTTACGCTGAAAAGACGAAGAAAAAACATTGTTAAAACCAACGTTCCGAATCAGGAACCCTTTACAGTACTGATAGTTAGTCTTTTTTGCATGTATTTCAGTTATTTCTGAACTATTGTGTCACTTGCACATCTCTCTTGCACTATTTTTACGTTATCTTTACGTCTTCAGTTTGTTGCAGTGTCAAAGAAGCCTTGGATTTAGGATTTTAGTTCTCAGAACTACACTTTTACTATTGTGCAGACGACAATCAAGTCTTTTAAATCGCATCAGAATCAAAAGTAAATAATAAGATAATGCATTAGACCCAGTCAGCGTGATGCGGCCTCTCTATCTTGTTGCAGATATGTTAAAACAGTTGTAATGAGGACTCACTAGAAGCTGTTCTGGTGGTTTTGAGCGAGGTGGTTCAAGGTGATGAAGGGATGCTGAAGAAGCTCGCTGGGGGAAATCCTCCGATCGATGTCCAGGTGAAGCGTCTTCTTCAGCAGATCCAGGAACTCCTGCCGGTCTTCAGTTTCTGCCGCGGTGTCTTCGTCCAACAGGTGGCGGGGGGGTTTTAACTGAATCAGAACAAACCAGGAACATTATAGTTAAACCTCTATTCATCTCGGTGGATCATGGAAACAGATTTACGGCAGATGTTCTCAGCTCGTTTTCAAATAGTATTTCCTACCATTATTATATCATTCAGCGAGTTGAATTGTCCGGCGCTTGTGTTGGTTTCTCCAGACTGCTGAACGTTCTAAAGATAAATGATATAGGATTAGGTAACCTGTCTCAAAAGGAAATTAAAAACAGTAAGATATTTTAGTTTAAAAGCAACTCAGTGCTGGTACCTTCAATCTCCAACGACGTCTCCTGTCCTTCTTTCTATAATGGAAAAACCAACGCGTTTTGACGCCTCTGTACATGAGACGAGCCGGAGGATGACCCTGAGTCTGCACTATATGTCGCAGCTGTTGACAAAACACAAAAGAAAAAGTCAGTTACATTTATACGGAAGAGGATTAGGGCTACATGATTTTTGGGAGGATTTGAAAAAAAATATTTTTTGTTCTGAGAAAAAACTCAGAATTCTGACTTTTTTCTCAGAATTCTGAGAAAAAAGTCAGAATTTTTTTTCTCCCAAAAAAAAGATTTTTTTTTTCAAATCCTCGCAAAAAAAAAATGTATGTGGCCCTAATCCTCTTCCGTACACTTACATCAATATTAGGATTTTCTTTAATAGTTTCACTACAAATATCATAGAAGTGCTTCAGAAAAGTTTACAAAAAGCCAACGTTTTACGCAGTTACAGTATCTCCCTTTTTAAAGAGGCCCTACTTTGCTTTTTTGGGGTTTCCCACCGTTTTGTTTTGCATTTTATGGTGAAATACACACATTTGCTCTCTTGCACAGAGGGACAGATCGATACGTCTCTGATGTCTGCGCATAAAGTATATTTCTATAACCAGAAAGTGATTAGCTTAGCTTAGCATAAGTAGGGAAACAGCCTGGATCTTGCAAAAAAAAGTTACACTATAAAACCACGGATAGTTGCTTTTACATTCTGTGCATCAAAGTGCCTCAGTGCGTGCTATAATAAAGATTAAGACATTTGAACCCTCAGCTACAGAGTCTGTTCTTCATGCACCGCCATTTTGATGTGGCATTGATGTAGTACGATGCAGGGAAGAACTACAAACTACTTAGGCTTGGATTTCTCTCGTTAGTCAGGTCATGCTCTCTGAATGCCTTGTTCTATTAGCTTGTATCGCAAACTAACTACATTTGTAACCGTGGAAATAGCAAATGAGGAAAGTGTTTCTCAATTAACTACATTTACTATCAACACTGATTTGGACTCCAACATAAAAGGTGGAGGATTTTAAGTTAAAAGTGTTTGTTAGTGAGAGAGCAAGGCTAGCGGTTTGTAGCTGCGGTCAGTCTTTATGCTAAGCTAAGCTACTGGATAATAAACACATACATTTGAGCGTGGTATTGATCTAACTCCTGGAAAGAAAGTGAAATAAATGTTTCTTAAAGACACTGTTTGAGCCACCACGACTAATATAAGGTGTGTATCCTACTGTTTATCCCTTCTACATAATAAATATAAGCTTCACAGTATTGTTACACCCACCATTTCGTGCTCGGTGTCTCCAGGGTACAGCACAGCGCCCGTGAACAGCTCTGCGGCGATGCAGCCCAGAGACCACATGTCGATGGCTGACGTTATGGGGAATCCTAGGATAATCTCCGGAGACCTTAGAAAAGACAAATAAACATATATCGTTTTAGTTTTGAGTAATTTCACAATTTAGTTTGCTATTTAACTTCTTAAATATTAAAAGGTCCCCTATTGTACAGTTTTTCATCAATATATCACAGGTCTCAGATATATACAGAGCCTGTCCCTGATTGGCTGGAACACCAAACAGATCATTGCAGCATTACCCATAATCCCCTCTGTTTCAGCCCTGTTTCAAAAGTGCTGATTCTCTGTCTGTGACTTTAGATGAAAATAAGGAGCCCCTCCCCACGCCCCTCTGAGAGACATTTGGTTACAAAGAACTCAATGGTGCTCTAGGAGGAGATTCAGGTGATAAGGGGGGGGTTACCTTGGTTGGTGATTGGCTAATGGTTACTCAAGCCAAAACATCGTTATGACATCACAAAGTGGCCAAAATCTGATCAGCTCATTTTCAGACAGGTTTTTATAGAAATGGATCAAAAAGAGAGAGAATCTTTGTTCCTGAAACTTTCAGAGTCTCTTTACACAGAGGGGACACATGGTGATGTAGAAGAGACATGAAGAAGAGGGGACACATGTTGATGTAGAAGAGACATGAAGAAGAGGGGACACATGTTGATGTAGAAGAGACATGAAGAAGAGGGGACACATGTTGATGTAGAAGAGACATGAAGAAGAGGGGACACATGTTGATGTAGAAGAGACATGAAGAAGAGGGGACACATGTTGATGTAGAAGATACATGAAGAAGAGGGGACACATGTTGATGTAGAAGAGACATGAAGAAGAGGGGACACATGTTGATGTAGAAGAGACATGAAGAAGAGGGGACACATGTTGATGTAGAAGAGACAGGAAGAAGAGGGGACACATGTTGATGTAGAAGAGACATGAAGAAGAGGGGACACATGTTGATGTAGAAGAGACATGAAGAAGTGGATTATTTTGCATAATAGGTGACCTGTAAATCTTCTCCACCCGCTGCCGGTTTCTCACCTGTAATGTCGTGTCTGCATGTAGTCGCCCAGCTCAGACTTAGCGACGTGACACGCCACGCCGAAGTCGATGACCTTGATTCTCCACGGCTGCTTCCCGTGGTCCAGCAGCATGATGTTCTCCGGCTTCAGGTCCGTGTGCACGACTCCCAGACTCTGGAGCAGCTGCAGCGTTACGGAAACCTGAAATATAAGATCGCGAATAAGTCTTTATGCTAAGCTAAGCTACTGGATAATAAACACACATTTGAGCGTGGTATTGATCTAACTCCTGGAAAGAAACTGAAATTAAATGTTTCTTAAAGATATTGTTTAAGCTACCACGACTAATATAAAGTGTTTGCATAATTGTGTGCGTGTGTATCCCTTCTACATAATAAATTAAAGTTTTTAAGTATTGCTACACCCACCATTTTGTATAATCAGTTGCAAAAATGTTGCTTAATTCTTTCAGGCAGGATATTTCTTATCAGTTCTGTGGAAATGTTCAGTTGTTTTTCTATGTGTCTGTGGAGCATCTAGCGTACCTGGTACAGGATGGGGCGGATTTCGTCCAGCTCCAGCGAGCGGTGAGGCTTCTGATAGAGGAACTCAAACAGACTCATGTCCAGGATCTCCAACTCCAGACAGACGTGTTCGCCGTACACAAACACATCGTTGAACGTCACAAAGTTAAACCTGTCGGAGTCAAACGCTCTGAGCTCTTCCATTATCTCTATCTGGGGAACAAACGATTGCATGTTGAGAAAATATATCTTCACAGGGCTGGATGAAATACAGTTAAAATGATGATGGATGTCCATTTGAAGTATTAATAACATAAGAAGTAGAGACATCAGTACGTCTACCTAGAAGGTCATTAGTAAGGTTTTGTGTTTACACCTCACCCATTTTATCCATTCTTCTTTAAGTATATTAACTTGATTTCCAATTGTCATGCCCATTTTATACATTGCTTTTACAAGTTATATAGTTAATTATTGCAACTCTAATAACTAGGAATAAGTGACAATCTTTATTTCTTGATGTTTTCTGGTGTTTTTTAGCAGGATATTTGGGGTTTTATCTACAGAAATACCCCAAAAAGCACATTATCTCCAGGATTTTGAAGTTCAATTAGTATTTATTTCACTTTTAGTTGTGTTAAAGTATTAAATAATAATCTTCCACATATATTATTCCCAAGAATAAGATGTATTTTGAATGTTTCTGCTCTTTACTTCCCAGTAGGTTGATGATATAATGCAGAAGGCTAACTGGATGGCTGATCACAACCAAATCAATTTGTTTGTACGAAGCGATGAGTCAGACATCTTACTGCATGTTATACGGTGGTTATAACTTATAATACATCTATTAATAAGTAAAGAAATGGGAATTGGGGAAACCATAGATGTGATCAGAGTTGTTCCCTACCTCATTCTTTGCCTCTGGTGTTAGGTCCTTTCCCTTCGCGATCTTCACAGCCACCGTCCTGTTGGTGGCCATCTTTAAGCACTTTACTACTTTCCCAAAGGTGCCCTCCCCCAAAAAGGACTGGATCAGGTATTGGGAGGAGGGGGAGGAGAGGACACCCATGGGTTTGCACACTCCCCCTGAAGGAAAGCAGCATGAGGATGAGGAGGAAGAGGTGGAGGAGGTGTTCGTCTCTGCGTCAGGTGACGGAGTTGAGTTGGGGTCTCGATAAGACTACAGGAGGAAGAAGAAAGTGATTAACACATGAAGTCACATTTTGTCTCATCAAAAAAGTCTTTCTGAACTATACAAAACTAAAATATATCAAAAAGTCAATACAAATGTTGGCTGATTTCACAATTTGGACGATTCAATTCGTGCTTGAGCTATTTTTCTACTAGTTTGAACATCTCAAAATGACATTTTACTGCTTTTTTGATAAGAATAAACACATTATTTGTTCATTTATAAGTCTTAACTGGGATTCAAGATGGATTGGAAGTTGTTAACTCATCTTGTTAGTGAAATATATTAACATATTACTAAAAAACAAGCGCTCTAATGTACAGTCAATGCCAAAAAAGTGGGACTCATTGACAATTCGGATGTTTCTTTACTTGCTCCTGCTATTTTTTTGTTTGTTTTTAACGTCTTTGTTAACAAAAACAACATTCAAATTACATTTAGCTGCTTTTTTTGATAAGACTAAACTGAATTTGATGAATTAAAAAACCTAAAATAAGGTGCAAGATGAAGTAGAAGTTGTTAAATCTTCTTGTTAGTGAAATATATCAACTTATTGGTAAATATAAGCACTTTACTGAACACTTAATGTGATACAATGGGATTATAAGAATATATTTTAACATAAAATCGAATTTCTTTGTAAGAAAACTATTCTTTTTATGTATTTACTACCAGATTTGATCAACTCACCATGTTGTCACTCATGTTACTAATCGTGTTTGAAAGTTTTGTTGAGATTAACAAAGTTGAAGTTTCTCCTGGTTGTGTTAACCCGACTGAAGACAGAGTCCAGGTCCAGCAGGAAGCTTCTTTCTCCTGAACATTCCACGGCTTTGTTACATCACATTCCAAATGGAATCTTAGTTTGGAATGTTCCGGTTGTCATGGCATCGAATAATTCTAAATTAGAACAATGGTGGCTAAAGGTTTTGGAATGTTTATATATCGCTGCTAACAAACAATAAAATGACAATTAATAACTATTTGTAATTAATAACTGTGCGACTGTGGCTGCGAGGGAGTGCGTTTGTTTCCACCAGAAGGTTATGGGTTCGATCGCAGCATTGGCACTTTGTGTTTTTATTAGTGCTGTCAAAATTATCGCGTTAACGGCGGTAATTAATTTTTTGAATTAATTGCGTTAAAATATTTAACGCATTTAACGCATGTGCAGAATGGCCCGCCCCATACGTGCCACCAGTGGCAGCGCCAGGGTATGGCTGGGGTAGGCTACACCCATACCAAGAAATGGCTTAGCCCCACCATGAAAAATGATGTTAAAGTAAGCAAAATAAAGTCTGCCAACTCGCGCGGAGTAAATTGCACAGACAGCAGTTAGTAAGATTGATTTCAGTAGCCACGGTTTTGAAAACTTTTGTCACGTAGTGATCGTCTTCTCAATAGAACATCTTTGATAACGGCGTGGTGTTGTTGCAGGAACTCCCGATGGAGAATATTTTTGCTGTAGTACAGGGGTGCACATAACTGGTACGCAGGTTATGTGCGTAATCTGAAATGCGTAGGCTACCGTCACTTGTGTCACAAAGCGCATTTGCGTACCGACGTACTTGTGAAGCTTTTCCAGAAGGCGGTTAGATCACCGGACGACAGAGTCGGTCTCCGTGTGCACAGACAGGGCTGCTGTTAACGTCGGTCTGTACAACGGAATTGTGCCAAAACTACGCCAACCGGCGGCGGAGGGAGACACTTTCCCCCCCCCTTCACTGGAGAACTGCGCTAAAACAGCTGATCACAACGTTCACACTCTGTGGTCATGAAGTACGCCACTAGCCGCCCCCCCCCCCCCACCCCCCCTCTGTCGACTTTCCTGAAGTACTCTCCCGTTGATAGAAATCAACACGTAATGAATTAAGACCCCACGGTTTGATGACTGATAGGTGTGTGGCTTGTCTTTCATTTTGACACGCAGAAAAATGTTATAATAAACATAGATACTGTATGTTAAATGGATATATCCGCCTTCTTTCATTTATCTTTCCATTCCCACAACAATATACATAAATAAATGGCATATTTTGGACATAGTTCGAATGGTGATTAATCATGATTAATTCATTTTAAAGCTGTGATTAATCTGATTAAAAATGTTAATCGTTTGACAGCCCTAGTTTTTATATATGGTTTTTAAAGTGCAGAGCGTTTCTTCTAATGGACATTTGGTCCGTTGTTACGTGTTTGCCTCTGTCAGCCACCGTACAGGGATTGTAAATGAAGGAACTGTAAATGAAATATACATGCATAATAAGACGTACAACATATTTAACACTAGTTTAAAAACCTTAAACCTTAGATTTGTATACAATAAGACAGAGATGAGCCTGTGATTGTACAAATCTAGCACATTCGTGCTGAAACACAAATTATATTATTTTTGATAAGTTATTAATTAATCTCTGAGCCGGAAAAAACTAAGATTTTAGGTGCATTATTGTTGTAAGTGTATTTTGTATTTAAGATCATTTAGTAATTGTCTTGCTAATGCTTTTAGACATAATTGTTGGTCCTTGTCGCTCACTGTACCTCGGATGGAGTGAGACAAAGGACAATGAAAGACAACGGCTCTGAGGAGGAGGAGGACAAAGAGGAAGGCAGCGTGGGAGGAGGGAGACGTCTTTGCGCGGCTCCTTCAAGCTCATGAACTGCTGGCCTACTTTAGCCTTCTCCATTTTTTATGACACACACACACACGCACGCACACACACACACACACACACACACACACACACACACACACACACACACACACACACACACACACACACACACACACACACACACACACACACACACACACACACACACACACACACACACACACACCCACACACACACACACCCATCACAATGCAATGTAGTGAGACTGCAACCTGTATGTGTGACATGGACACAAACACATGTAACCCTCATAAGCATGCAGACTCTGGGAAATGTAATCTAAGAAAAGGTGCATGAACACACAAACAACCTGCAGTATTGACACAAAGTGTTTTAGGGTGAGCTGTCTGTGCAGGTGTACTATATATATTGATATATGTATTGGTCAATACGGATCTTTCAGAGGTTGTTAATACCCAATAGCACACGGCTGTTAAGCAGAATAGTGCCCATTGCTAAGGAGGATCAAGAGAGAGGACGAAAGAGGTACAGAGACAGAGCGCTGGACGTCAGAGAAATCACCAGAAGAAGGCAGACAGGAAGTAAACACCAACAGGCACACGGTAAGGGCTCTGGCATTATGAGAAACTGTGGACAGACTTGGATAGTTACAGAAAACATCGATAGGAGCTGTCGTTCATTTTAAGTTACGTTGATGTTGCAGTCTTGGTACCCAGCGGAGCGAGGGATTGTTTCCTTTGCGGTAGCTCAATAAAATCATTTCGATTAATAATAGGAGTCAAGTCTTTGGTTTATTTAGTATGTGGCCGCGCACCGCCTCGCTGCACATTATCCCTTAAATTTCTGATGTATATTAATTAAATATTCTATCAGTACTTTGTACATCCATTTACTCTCAGGTGTGTACATTTTGATTAGCGTCTACCCAGTTCACGTTTAATCATACTTGCTGCCAACTGGCCCCTACATTACGCACTACTGGCACAAAACAAAACAAGCGACCAGGGTGCTCTTTTTGGGAAGATATGAGGGAAACCATGACAAAGAAAAAGAGATGCAGCTACAACAAATCTGGCAAAGTAAGTGTTAAGCTGGTGGAGGGCAATTCCTAGCATGTTTTTTGTGTCACATGCAAGACTTTATTTATACGCTAACGGTTTCAATAGAAAGGTCATATGGAGATCACATCAAAATCTAAAGTGCCTCTCATCATCATGTCCTACATTGTCCCACACAACCCTACCACCTGTGGCCTGTTGGCACCTGGTCATCCTAATTAAGAGTGTCAGGGATGGTAACAGAAAAAACCACTGAGAACGCTTGAGTTCATCAGCAGTGGCAGATTCAGGGCAGATGTTGGAGGCTGAGGGAGCGGCCATTTTAATTATGAAACATTCTGGGGAAAGAGTGTGTTCGCTTACACACACGCGCACACACACACACACACACACACACACACACACACACACACACACACACACACACACACACACACACACACACACACACACACACACACACACAAACATATAAAGCCACAACAGGCTGCTTAACAAGTATTTAAATTGAAGAAGAGGGGAAGAGCTAAGACGCACAGGACTTCAAATACTGATTGGTATTTTTATTTGTATAAATGTTCTCAGATATATTAAATATATATCTTTCCTTTGTTGATTTATTTACTCTCTACACAAGCAGGGGGGCTGCATGAGAAGTTAAAAGGATGGATGCAACTGGAGAATATAAGGGATTGACTGAGCAAATACAGCTGAGGGAAATAAAAAGTTAAACTGTAGAAAACAGAAAGTAGTTAATCTTATGATCTGCAAAAAGTTATCTTAAGATAGAGCAACATAGGGTTTTTTAAATATAAAATTCATCCAAATAATTAAAGGTACATGCACAGTAATAATAACATCTTAACGTGACACAAAAGCAATGTCATGTGACACGTATGAGGTGTTTAAATTAGGTTTAATGAGCTTTTAACACCTCTTAAATGTGATGCAGGCTGACATAAGAATAAGAATATTCAGCCAAATACCAAATACTCACGTGAGAGTAAATCTCAGCAGACACCTGTCAATCATGTTCCTCTCTCGCTGTCAGCCTCATTCCTGTCAGGCAAGGATAGACAGTCAAAACCTGGAAGAAAATGAAAAACAATATCTAAATATAGATCTGATACCGGCATCCCTGCACATTGTGAAAAGAGACTCTTACAGGTCAGGGTTTGTGTCAAGTCAAAATGCCCTTGTGTAAAACACTTGACCCCTACTTCCTCACTCGCTGTCAGACGTGTTTTCAGAAGAAGCCTCAGCAAAATGCAAATAGGGGATAGGGGAAAGTCGAGGGGCTGCAACAAGAGCTGAGAGGTTTGAAAGTCAGATCCAATTTGGAGGAGTTCCCTTTCTGGGACAATAAAGTATATCTGTTGTGTAAGTTATCTTAAAAATGTAAAAAAATTCAAATAAACCTTTAAGTCAACAAAGTGTGCTTCATCACAATGAGTCTTCCAGAAGATACTAGCTAGGGTATTAGCAGTAGCCATGGTCATTGTTTATGTTCATTAAGATAAATTAAGGAGTGGTTTTGGAGGGATGCCCCAAGGAAAAGATCAGTGTTGCCAACTTGGTGAATTTCCCCGCTAGATTTAGCAAGTTTTGAAGCTAACACTGCTAGCTACATCAATCGGTTAGCATCATCGGCCTGGGTTTTCTGGTTTGATAATTTAAAAACTATAATTTACTCTTGTTAGCTTATCCAATTGGACTTACCCAAGCTTCAAAAGGAAATGTATAATATAACCAATAGTTCTATACAGTAATAGTAAGGTGTATCTAAAAGTAAAAAGATTAGATAGATGGATAGATAGATAGAGAGAGAGGTAGGTAGGTAGAGAGAGAGAGAGAGAGAGAGAGAGAGGGATGTACTGTAGGTAGGTATAGGTAGATCGATATATAGATGGATAGATAGATAGAAAGATAGAGATAGAGAGAGAGAGAGAGAGAGAGAGAGAGAGAGAGAGGTAGGTAGCTAGGTAGGTAGGTATGTAGGTAGGTATAGGTAGATAGATATATAGATGGATAGATAGATAGAAAGAGAGAGAGAGAGAGAGAGAGAGAGAGAGAGAGGTAGGTAGCTAGGTAGGTAGGTAGAGAGAGGTATGTAGGTAGGTATAGGTAGATAGATATATAAATGGATATATAGTACTTTATTGATCCCAATCTGAAATAGAAATAAAATAAAAATGACATCCCTCTCCATGTTAGCATTACTAGAGGAATATGGAATGCCATTTAAGCCAATATTAAATAAATAAATATATACATAAATAATTAAATAAATACATATATATATAAATATGCCTATGAAATAAATTATAAAATAAATAAATTAGGCAATAAATATGTATACATGTACATTTAAATACACATTTATTTATTTCATGGGACTTTTATTTCATAATGACACATTTATTTATTTCAAGAGACTTGTATTTCATAATGACACATTTATTTATTTCAAGAGACTCGTATTTCATAATGACATGTTTATTTATTTCAGATGACTTGTATTTCATAATGACGCGTTTCTTTATTTCAAGAGACTCGTATTTAATAATGGCTTATTTCATGTGACTTGTATTTCATGATGGCTTATTTCATGTGACTTGTATTTCATAATGGCTTATTTCATGTGACTTGTATTTCATAATGGCTTATTTCATGTGACTTGTATTTCATAATGGCTTATTTAATGTGACTTGTATTTCATGATGAGACATTTCCATTCCTTATATGCAAATGAACGGGGCGTGGTTAGCTCACAGGTCCAGAGACCCAGACCAAAGCAACAGCACCACACTGACTACTCGAGAAGAGGAAGAAAATGGAGGAGAAGGACTATAAGGCAAACTACTAAATGAAAATAACAACATGGAAGACGTTGGTGGGCTCCAAGACTTAACTGGTTCTTATCTGGTCTTCTCTGGTCTTATCTGGTCCGCCCAATGCTGCTCTTCTGAGAGCAACCGCTCTGACAGCTCTCTGTAGTCTCTACTGGGAGCTAAAAAGTCAGCTAAAAGTCCTTCTGGAGGTCCTTCAACGCTACACAATTACACCCAGTCTGAGAGTAAAATATGTCTCGAAGGTTCGTTTTGCGTTTCTTACAACGTTAAGTTAATGTTGACGTAACCTTACGTTTGCTAGGAGGCTATCGTTACGAGCTAGCTGTCTTAGCTAACAACAGTTAGCAGCTAACGTTTTCTGCAGTTTGTGTTGCCCCTGAAAAACGTGATGTAGTTATTTAAGGGTATGTTAAATTAACGTTATTTTACAAGTTGAGAGAGTTAAGTTGTGTTTAAAATCGTCAATGTAATGCACGTTAGAGGTTTTGTGTTGGACATGAAGTTAGCTAACGTTAGCTAACTCCACCAGGTTAGCATGTTAAGCTGTACTTTTTGTGGCAGCTCGCTTAATACAAAGAGGGGTTTTGTGCTTCATTTGCAAACTTTACTTTGTTAATCTACCTGAAACTGTAGGGACAGTTTGTTTCTACTCAACTATACAGACCATTGTTGAGGAGATGCAAAACATACTGTACATGAGTTGGGTCCAACATATACCTTGAGTAATGTTACTTTGCTGCTAAAAATGAAACATCATTATCAGATGAGGACATCACCAAAGTGTGTGAGCCTGTCAGGGGATTTGATCTGTTCTCTGCATGTCCTAAACACTGCTCTGGTATTACTTATCTTGTAACATGTAAGTCTCCCGCTCTTGTCATCTTTCAGGCTTTGCATTTGAACTCCTATGACTGGTTGCGGACTTGAAGGGAACGCCTTCCTGACATCCAGGAAAAAGGTGAGATTATAATACATTTGAATGCCAAAAGCAAGTTATTGTTTTTAACTTTTGAAATATGATTGTTTTGGGGCATTTCAGTTGTATTGGACAGGCAGTAGAGATCTACTGGAAACAGTGGAGAGGGAGGAGATGATATGCAGCATACGGCCCAGCCGGATGGTTGCTGCTCCGTGTGGAACGTGTCCTATCAGGTAAAGCACTTTGGTACCCAGTTATTTATGGTGTTGAGTTTGAATTTAGCTTTTGGAATGTAATTTCCAACTGTGCATTGTAAAGACTGAAAAAACAGCCTCAAGTTAAAGCTTGACATGATTTGGTCTTTTACTTAAGAAGGTGTTTGTCCTCCTGTGTTGTCTTATTTCCTTATCTTTCTTTCAGGTGTAACATCTACCAATGGTTGTACATGACAGAGACCTCCTCCACCTCTTTGCTGTCTTACTAGTCAATCTTTCTGATCAGGTCCTTTCCTAAATAGTGGTAAGTTTTACAGTTCAGTGTATGTTAATTTAGTAACTTAATGCTTTACCGCGGTTGAATAAATCCTATATTGCTAGTCATTTTATTAAAACTACGTTTTGTAAACTTTTTGATTCCAATTACAATAATCTTTTTGTTATAATTGTAAAACATATCTTAACATCCATCAGAAATCAATACAACAAATCATCCAACACTAAATAGAAGAAATCTGGACCTATTTCTTTTTATACAGCAGCATGTTTTGGGACTGTCATCAAGAGCCATTGAGTCTACCTTTTGTAGTCGGCCTCTCAGAATGTTTATCATTTATTTGTATTTGAACATTCATATAATAATTAGTTTTTTTATTGTTTTGTTCTTTATTTTTGTTGTGAGAATCACTTTGCAATTATTGTGTAAGTGCTATTTAAATAGTTATACTAATATTATTGTTGTTACTATTATTAATAATGTCTTCTTTGTTTTCTTTATTCATCGCTGCAGAAAGGATCATGCCAGCCCACATCAAACACCTGATCAAGAGCTTGTGAACCTCACTGCTGCAGACACCTGTGTGATATTCCACTCTGACTGGAACCCTCAAAATGACCTGCAGGTACAATATATATATATATATATCTGCTCTGTCCGTCCTAAAGATAGTTCAATAGGGCTACAACAACAACAGTCTTTCCGTTTATTCCCTCGGTTCTTTAAGTGTATATTTTCCCATTTAATGCTTAAAAACGTTGAACAGCAGCTGCACATGATGCTCTTTTGACCCCTCTTTTAATTTTTTATTTCAGGCTCAAGCTCGGTTCGTCATCGTTTTGGCCAGTCTAAGGCGGTGGAGGTGTACCGTCTGATCACTAGAAACTATGAGAGGGAAATGCTGGATAAAGCTAGTCTGAAGCTCGGGCTGGACCGTCCCGTCCTGCAGAGCATGAGTGGCAACAACAACAACGGGGTGAGAAAAAGAAAATCTGTCATATTTCTAGATGCCAAGTCATTTTTGGGTCAGTCGCTGTTGCAGTACGCTTAGTTTATTTTCAAAAAGAGTTTTCTAAATCCACTTGTGTAAATGTCTCTCTGCGTCGCCTTTAGCCGGTCCAGCAGTTCTCCAAGAAGGAGATCGAGGACCTGCTGAGGAAAGGAGCCTACGCCGCCATCATGGACGAGAACGACGAAGGCAATCGCTTCTGCTAGGAGGACAACGACCAGATCCTGCAGCGAAGAGCCACCATCAACACCATCACCAGGTATGTTCTTAGCAGCACTAGCCACTTACGCTTTGTGTTGGTAACCAAGTACTTGGTTATTTGAAATGTAATATTGATGATGTAATAATTAAAACTAGGGATGGGTACCGAGCCCTGGTATTAAATGGGCCCCGGGGCTGAATTATGAAAGACCGTGGTACCGTTAACGTCCAACGTTATCGATCTTTTTATCGGTGCTGGAGACATTTAAAAAATAGATGTCATATGTATTATATCTACATAAACATTATATCGCAGTCTTACTGTTGCCAACTCCGTTCCTAATATGCAATAAGACTACAAAGTGCGTCTATGATTTATTTTCGATCTTTCCAATCCAGACGAGAGATCTCTCTCCCCTGACGGTGTGCGAGGGGGTGGGGCAGTTTACACACAGAACCTGCTACATGCAACACACACACACACACACACACACACACACACACACACACACACACACACACACACACACACACACACACACACACACACACACACACACACACACACACGCACACGCACACACACGCGTGCGCGCACAAACACATGGCGGAGAGAACTAAGCACCCCTTAAGCCCCGCCCCCCCGAGCACACACTCTCGGCTCACTAGAATGAATGGAGAGAGAGAATAAATCTAGATTCGGCTTTTAGTGCATTTTACAACTTTAAGGACTTAATGATTCTAGGGCTATACAATAGTTCATACTGGGTAGTTTATTTAGTTTCAAAAAAATTATCCACCGATTTACAGACGTCTCTTTCCAAATGTTAGTCAATGGGAAAAAGTATTTCTGGGCCGGTCGATGTCACAGACTGATAAGGAAATTGTAGTACCGCCGTTTGGACACAACGAATATTTTCCTCAGAGTCCGGCGCACTTCCTGGGGGCTTTGTCTTGAGGTGGAAAATGCTCGTTGCCAATAGTGCAAAAAGAGTTTAGCATGTAAGGGCGGTAACACGAGCTATTTGTCTAAACATTTAGCAAAAGTGCTCCACATCCAGACGGAAGAATGCACCGGACTGTCTTTCTAGTAGCTCTGTAGCTCCATGCACGAGTAACGTTTCCACGTCAGGTGTTATGTATGCTAGCAGCAACACACAGAGTTAACACAATGATACAAACATGGGTTAATGATGAGAGGTAACTGAGTTATTTATTTTGTTAAAGTTTCAGCTATTCTGTTTGCAGTTCTATCATCACATTATTGAATACGATTTGTTAAAACATTGTTGTTTCTTATTTTCAGTTTGCTTCAAGCAGTGGCTGCACGAGAAAGACGTGGAGGACCAAGAGATGCTGGCCAGATTGGCAAAGACCGGAAGATACATAACAGAGAAGATAATGGATATTAACAAGAAAAAGAAAAACATTTTTAATAATTTCTTTGTTGCTGTTTACATTTTGAATTATATTTGTTATTTTTAAATCAAATGCATCTATTTTAAATCTGTGTATCTACCGTCCAATTGTTTTTCTTTATTAAACACGTAAACGGAAGAGCGTTTGAGAGGCCTTTTTGCTTTTTGCTTTTTACCTTACTAAATGGTCTAATGGTCAGTGCAACGGGGGGCGGGACCAAACTCACGGAAGTGATTTCAAAACAAAAGCGGTGATAATATTATAAACAAAGGGAAACAAGGTGAATTTATCGATCACAACGAAAACGGCCAAGACACATATTGAGCCCAGAAAATGGATGTTATTGAGGGCTGTAAATATAATAAGCCTCTGTCTAAAATGGACAACATTGTTAGGAGATTTAAACTATACAGCGATTCTGCACTGCGGTCACTCAGCCGCCTCTCGAGTTTGTTTTTTCAAATCAGCTGCTCTTCATTATTCCTGCTATATTTGACGAGTGATACAAATATTTGTTACCACAAGTTCTTAAGGAAACTGACACTGTTGGACTCGGTACTAGTTTGACTTCTACCAGAAATCAAATGAAGTAGCCTACTTTTGCTGTGTAGCTACTTTGTGAGTAATCCTCTGTCAGAGTCTCCTCCTTAGTAGGCTACATAATGCATGTTTTTCTGCTATCTTTGATGAATGATAAAAATATGATTTTACCATTAGTTCTTAATTAAATTGATACTGTTTGACTTTGTATTATTTAGCCTGCTACTTACAATGCATTGAAGTACTTTTACTGTGTATTTTTTGAGAAATACTCTGTCAATGTCCCCTCCTGAGAACAAGAATGCATGTTTCTCTGCTATTTTGAATAAACGTTAAAAAAAACTTTCTTCATGAGACTGATATTGTTGGACAGAGTATTTTAAGAGGATGGTAGACTTGATACCAGCAATACTTCCAGTCAGTACTCCGGCAGCAGCATTTGTACCCCTTGGAAAGTCTTTAGAGTCTGGCCTGGATAGCTGGTCTATCCTTCAGCACACTGACACACTCTGTCACTCTTGTTGGCCTCTTATGAAGCTGCTGTCTTTTAATATATGATTATTTCTCTGCTCCAGTTCATTCCTCGCAAATTCTTCCATCAGTCCCAGTCATTGCATGTCAGTCAATAGAGCTTTGAAAAATGTGTCCAATTCAACAAAATCTTTTTTTGTGAGTGAAGGCCAGAGCTAAATTATAGATTGTTTGATTGTGTAATTACAAGGTGAGAGAAAATAAATCCACATCCTCCTATGAAAAGTATTTTATTTCCTTTTCCATGTTATACTTATACTTACTTGCATTATAACATTTGCATGTTGAACTACATGATATCTTCCCCAGCCTCTGAGCCTCAAGGAAATACATTAAAATAAATGGATTCATAATTTTTAAAAATTGATAAATTAATAATGTTGTATTTCAAATTTAAATATAAAATGAAAAATAAGTTTACTTTTGAAATGATTTCTCACAAAAACCTTTCTAAATTATAGTAAACTATTAAAAAAGTTTTGGTCAATATACGTTTTTCTGCTTAAAATAGTTGAAATTGAACGTAAACTGTATCAAACACCACATCCATGGCAATTAACGCTATTTAAATTGACTTTGGTTAGTTAATACAAATATTGATATTATATATATATATATATATATATATATACATATATAATTGATGCAGTCTTTCTGAACACTTTTTTTTTTTTTTAAATACTGCAAATGAAGAATATTTAAAATGTTCTGCACAGAGTGCCCTAACTTACAGCAGTTGAAAATATTTGTGAAAGGATAAATTCTTCATGGGCTTCAATGGCTTTAGTAAAGGGTGTTTTATGGTTGCTTGTATTATCCTCAGATAGTGGTTTGTTTAAATAACTAGTGACATTTTTATAAATATTGCAAAAAAGGGCTACAAAAAAGGCATATATAACCTGGCCGGCTTAGCCAGTGTGTAATTCTTCAAGCACCACAAGATTCATAGTTTATAAAGTACAATTCTGGGCCATTGATTGTGTCATTTCTCCAAACACATACAGTAAAAATGCCTGTTTTGAAGCCTTAAAATGGTGCAGGAAAAGGACTTTACATTGTATTATACTTAAAGACAGGACTATTCAGTTAAGAGAAGAGAAAAAGGAAAGCAAATTGTCATAATGGGTGATGTAATATTAATCAAATCAAATCAAGTTTTATTTATATAGCACATTTATAAACGATTTTTGGTCGAGCCAAAGTGCTGTACATATAATAAAAATAGCCTACAGTAGAGACATTTTACACCTAATATAACAACACAGATTGTTCAGAATATCAGTATGAGTGAAAAACGACACCCTCTGTCCTTAGACCCTCTGTCCTTAGACCCTCACATCGTACAAGTAAAAACTTCCAGAGAAAACCCACAGTTTGAGGGGAAACATGGGAGAAACCTCAGGGAGAGCAAGAGAGGAGGGATCCCTCTTCCAGGTCGGACAGACGTGCAATAGATGCCGTGTGTAACTCGAAGAGATAATACATTTTACAGCATATAGACCGAATGTTTGGAAATGCATGTGTCTGTAATAAGAAGATGAATCCGCGAAGATGTCAACTACAACAAGATTAATGACATACATAATATGAGGTCCTTGGCACTGTGTGATCATGGGGCATCACCCTTACAGCATCAGGACAATATCATATGGAGTCAGACACTGGAAGTGTGCTGGAGGCGTTGACTGGGACTGATGGAAGGATGAGGCTGATGAGACTGAAGAATCTGTGACGAACTAGCGGCTGAGAAATAATCATATATTAAAAGACAGCAGCATCATCAATAGGCCAACAAGAGTGACAGCGTGTGTCATTGTGCAGTCTACCATCCTCTTAAAATACTCCGTCCAACAATATCAGTCTCATGAAGAAAGGTTTTTTAACGCTTATTCCAGAGAAACATGCATTCTTGTTCTCAGGAGGGGACATTGACAGAGGATTGTTGGAAAAGTACACAGTAAGTACTTCATAGTACTTGTGGGGGTAGTTTCAGTAGTACTGAGTCCAACAGGATCAATTATCTCACGAAGAACTAATGGCAACACAAAATAATTCCCTCATCAAACTTAGCAGAAGTGGCCAGATTTTGTTCTCAGCAGGGGACTTTGACAGAGTATTCCTCAAACAATACACAGTAAAAGTACTTCAATGTATTGTAAGTAGTAGGCTAATACAAAGTCAAACAGTATCAATTTCATTAAGAACTAATGGTAAAATTATATTTGTATCATTCATCAAAGATAGCAGAAAACATGCATTATGTAGGCTGGTATGCCAGCAGACAAATATTTATAAAGAAAGAAACAGAAGGGAGGAAATGATGATAGCTAGACTCAGAATAAATCACACAGCATTGAATGGTACGCTGCATGTCATGGGGGAAAGTAACAGTGAGTGTAGGAACTGTGGAGTTAAAGAAAATGTGGAACATCTATAAAGCTGAAAGAGAAAAACTAAAGGATAACGTTTTAGAGGCAGAGAGGGAATGGAGTGTGGTTGGTATTTTGGGAACAAAAGGAGAGGGAGAAAGAGCTACCAGAAAGGCACTCTTTACCTTTAGTGAAACTGGGGTAGGTACAATTATCTAACAGGAAAGATCATAGATTGTTGTTTTGTTTTATTTATTATGTTTTTTTATTTATTTATTTTTGGATTAGATCATAGATACGTCCATGAGTTAAGTCAAGAGATGGAATGATATGATGATTCACACTCATGTACAGTAGGTGGCGGTATGCACCTTAAAGTTGTTTGAGAGAAAACCGAGAGAAGGAGTCAACTGGTTTGCCAACGGACAATTTACACCGAAGAAGCGAACATTTCTGGCGGGTGAAATTAGTGTATCAGTATCAGATTACATGCGATGTCTGACTCTGAGAAAAGCATCTCCGAATTATTGAGAGAGGCAGCCAACCGCCTCGATGGGATGGTGATGCGACAGCCACCGTCTGACGTTAGAGCTGCTGGATTGGGCACCCCAAGCCCAAGAACCCCTGTCCAAGGTAGGTCACTAGCAAGGTACTGATTAATCCAAATCGGTGTTCTCCGGGTAAACGTAACATTAGCTAGCAAGCTGACTGCCCGCAAACACAATTAGTGTAACGTTCCTGATTATTCAGTATAGATGGCACTAAGTTGTTGGTATGGTTGACAACATTTGATGAAGCAATCTGTCAACGTGATCCTGTTCTATTATAAGAGAATGGAAACATGTCAACATTGTGGTAGCATTACTTCAGATAACGAATAGTGTGATATTGACACTATAGAGCAGGGGTGGCAAACTCATTTCAGTTAAGGGGCCACATACTGCCCACTTTGATCTAAAGTGGGCCGGACCAGTAAAATCACAGCATAATAACCCACAGGCCCTATAACGACAATATTTCTGTTTAAGTGCAAATAAGTAGGCTACAAGTACATTCGGAAAATGTCCACATGTAATGAGACGCAAAACGTTATGAACAAACTGACATTTATTAAGAAAAAACAAGTGCAATTTCAAGTGCTACACATATGTTCTTTACAACAGATCACAGTTTCCACCTGAACTGACTCACCACAAAATACAAATAAAAACGTGGGAGCTATTAAGTGAGGAGTTTGAGTTACCCCCCTTGCCTTGAAGATATAACATTTCTATATTTTAAAAAGAAGTTGGGCAGTGCCACATCAAATCAAACTATTGTTTGCCTAATGCAGCTGCTGATTGACATTATAATACACAATGTTCTATGACATAATAATATAACATGTTCAAATATTTCAGTAGGTTCTTATTTTCACGTCACTGATTAATTTGCTCCTGAAACTTGACATCTTTTAGCCCTCACAATGGCATCAATATCAGGCTTAAAATCCTGACTAGCAGCCAATTTAATGAGTTCATTCAGGCACTTGTGTGTGAGTCTTGAGCGCAGCTTTGTTTTAGTAATGTTCATTACAGAGAAAACCTGTTCACAAAGGTAGGTGGTCCCAAACATGCTCAAAACTTTTGCTGCCAGGGCTGTCAATTTGGGGTATCCTGGCAAAAGATACCGATAAAATGTGCGCAAGTCCGATGAGGCAAATTTGTCCTTTAAATCCTGATCACATTGTAAGTCGATTATCTCAAGTTGTATGTCGACGGGCAGATCCGCAGCCTTAACTGCAAATGGCGAGCGAAACACTGCAAACTCTGTCTCAAGCTCACCAAAGACCTGAAACCGCCGCTCAAACTCCCGCAGCAATTCCGTAATGTTGTCTTTGTACCGACTCATGTCAGCAGTAACTCCGGTCATATGCACATTTCTTAGATGAGGGAAATGAGCAGGGTCACCACTTGACAGCTGTGTCTCCCACAAAGCCAGCTTCAACTTAAATGCGCGTATGCTGTCATAATATTCTGTGACAACTTTTTTGCGACCTTGCATCGTTATATTCAGATTATTCAAGTGCTCTGAAATATCCACCATAAATGCAAGGTCCTGCAGCCATTCTGGGTTTTTTAATTCATGCACTGGCTTACCCTTTTTCTCCATGAACTGTCCAATTTCCTCGCGTAGATCAGAAAAACGCTTCAGCACGGCACCTCGGCTCAACCACCTTACTTCAGTGTGATATGGTAGGCTACAGGTGATGTCTTTATCACTGAGGAGGCTGTCGAACTGACGGTGATTCAGCCCTCTGGCTCGGATGAAATTAACAGTTTGGACAACCACTTTCATGACGTGATCCATTTTTAACGTCTTGCAACACAATGCCTCCTGGTGCAAAATACGGTGGAATGTCCAAAAACGATCTCCTCCATTTGCTGCTTGTACTTTCTCCCTGAATTTCGTGGCAACACCTGCTTTTTTCCCGATCATTGATGGTGCGCCGTCTGTAGCCAGACTGACAGCACGGGTCCAGTCCACTCCGACCCTGTCCAGTGCTTCAACGAGAGCGCTAAAAATGTCATCCGCTTTAGTGGTGTCTGTCATAGGAACCAACTCAAGGAACTCTTCGGTGACCGTCAAAGTCTCATCTACACCACGAATGAATATGGCCAGTTGAGCAACATCTGTAATGTCAGTGCTCTCATCGATTGCAACTGAAAATGCTACGAATGACTTGACTTTTATTTTTTTCTGGCTATCCAAATCTGCTGAAAGATCGGCAATCCTATCCTTCACTGTATTCCTCGTTAGACTAATGTTGGAAAAAGCCTGTCGCTTCTCAGGACACACGATTTCTGCAGCCTTCAGCATGCATGTTTTCACAAACTCACCCTCAGAGTATGGCTTTGAGGCTGATGCTATTTCGTTAGCAATGAGATAGCTGGCTTTCACGGCTGCGTCACTTATATCTCGGCTCCGGGTAAAAACGGCCTGTTGTTTCTTTAGACCTGATAGCAGGTCATTTATCTTTTCTTTTCTCCGTTGTCCTTGCAAGCAGTCGTATTTCTCTCCATGGTGAGTCTCATAATGGCGGCGAATATTATATTCTTTGGGCACAGCAACTTGCTGCGAACACACCAAGCATACAGGTTTTCCATTTACCTCTGTAAAAAAATAGGATGCGGTCCATTTTTCTTGGAAAACTCGGCACTCCGTGTCCACTTTTCTCTTTTTTGACAGAGACATTTGGGGATGAGAGTGTCAGAGGTTATTGACTGCAATCACTACTCTTACTCATCACTTTTTTTACAGTCTGGCTGCGCTCTCACTGGTACCGGTGCGGTAGTGCGCCCACTAGTGGAAGGATTCAAAATAGCAGTTTTTTTTCCCTCCTCTCATACAGTAGCCTACTTAGCAAAATCCTTCAGCTCCGTGGGCCAAGCTGGAATGCCTCCCGGGCCGGATCCGGCCCGCGGGCCGTATGTTTGCCACCCCTGCTATAGAGTCTTTCAGTGAGGTATGTTGCTACCTAGCTACTCGGCCTGTTTGAATCAAGTGTGTTTAAAGTCATTTAAAAATAATTATTATAAACATCATCAGGATCAGAAGTAAGTGCTGCCAGGGATCTAGATGTATGTGTTTACAAAGCTACGCCAACAAGCTTTGTCTGTGTGCCTTACTGTTGTTCAGACTGCCTCTCTAATCCTATGTTTCTTGTTTTCACATTTTAAAGCGGAAGTGGCGAGACTATTCGCCCCTTACAGTGCTAGGCAAGCAATGCCTTCACTAAGACCCCATTCTTTGGGACCTCCAGCAAAAAGACTGTGTCGCACTGCTCGCACAATCTACTCACACTATTTTCTTTGCTTGAGCGACCATACGGTAGACAAAGTTCCAGGAAAGATGGAAAAATGGGATTTAACAACTGCTGGACTTGGAGAGAAACGGCTCTCATTTCAAGGTTGTGTGTGTGTGTGTGTGTGTGTGTGTGTGTGTGTGTGTGTGTGTGTGTGTGTGTGTGTGTGTGTGTGTTGTGTTGTGTGTGTGTGTGTGTGTGTGTGTGGTTTATATTTCTTCCAAGGCAACTTCTGTTTGACAATTAATGAATACAATGTTAGAAGAATGATAGTTTTTGTTCTTCTTCTCTACCCCCCTTTCTCTTATGTACCGGTATGTAGTAAGAGATGATGATCCTACAAACTTTAGGGCCAAAATTGAGGATGCCTTTCCCCAGTTAAAAGACACAGGGGGGTTCCAATTACTGAGGATTTTGGGGACAACACGCAGCCGGGATTTAACCCTAATCACAAGCCCAGATGAAGGCTACACGGTGCGGTATCTCTCCAGCCCTGGGACCGGCATTGGCCAAGCCATGATTTACATCAGGCCATTGCAGAAGAGTATTGTTTTGGAATGTGTAAGTCTGTCATTAGGTTGTTCACATTTTACCAGTAAATGTATGTGTGAGCCATTTCTACTTGCATTTAAATACTAATGTAATTTAGCAGTTAAAGCTTTGATTTAATAGTTTTTTATTATGTAGACCCCAACATCCCTGCAACCAGGACCACTGACGAGATGCTTAGCCTGTGACGAGGATTTCCCCTTAAATCAGATGAGAAATCACATTTTTATGTTCCCAAGGTATGTTTGACTATGTGTGTGATGTGTACTACTTGTTGTGGAATGTTTTTTCTAACTCTTGTAAATCATACAGGTTTGATCAGTGCAACATAGTAAAAGATTTGTATCAACATTTGTTAGAACTTTTGACTGAATATGACCTTGGTGTTAATATAAGTCCATATACAAGCACTCACACTCATCTGTAGCTCCTGGGCAACTGTTGAGAGAATCATGTTTTACAATTCCTCCCCCCTCTTCATAAGTTGCCATTGCTTTCTTACTCTGTTTCAAAAACATACTTTGGAAAAACATATCAAGTAGTTGAAACCCTGTCATTGATTTGTGTTAGAAAGGGGGATCGTCTGTCATACTTTTCCGAAGGTATGCTAATAGTAACATTATTAATAAGGGCAGCCTACTATTTTTTTTCTTCTTCCCATATAGCTAATTATGCTCATGAGATACCGATTTGCAATGATGCATATCTCCAAAGTACGTCAGTGATTCCTGTTCTAACATGAATGAATGGCAGGGTTTCAACAGCTTCATTTTTCCCTCCTGAACTATGTTTTTGAAATGGAGCACGAAAGCATACCTGATGCTCTTCAGTTGCCCAGGAACTACAGATGAGCACAAATGCTCGTATAGGGACTTACATTGATACCAAAGTCCTTTTCAAATGTTCTAACAAACATCCATGTTGCTTTAAGATAATGTCTCAACCTTTGTAAACCCTTCTTTCAGCTTGCCCAGTGTTGCTCCAGTTCCTTCTGTTGACACTCAGAGTAGGCCATGGGGATGATGGGCCATTCATTCCTACACAGTGGACCCTGCATATCTGGCCTAAGTCCTGCAATAACTCATGTCCTGTTCGGGGGATCACCAGAAACTACAACAATCCAAATTGAGGATTGCCCTGATATTGACATCCGTACCACTATCCAGTTGGTAAGAATGTTGGTTGTGTTATTTGTTTAAATTAAGAACAGTTTGTTTCCTCTGTCTCTCTCTCTGTCTGTATATATATGTATATATATATATACACACACACACATATGTTCTCATCTAGCTGGAGGGCAACGCTGAGTTGACAAAACAGGAAGAGAAAGCTGTCTTTGACCTCGCCTTGTCCTGGGACCTGCCTGGTGTTACGAAAACCAACCGGAAGTGGCTGCATGAACGGCTTTTATTCCATGCTGTGGGTGACGTTGCACGCTACTTTTTTGAAACTGCAGATGTAATACTATGTTCAATAATGTATTTTTTTATTTATTCTGCTGTAGTACAGAACATAATGCATTTGCTCCATATAGCTCAAATGAAATACTTGTTTCTCTGTATAGACTTGCTGTTTATTTTGTTCCAACAATAACTCATATGGTTGCTTTTTATGCCGTTTTCTGTTTTGGGATTCTAGGTGATTTCACGAACAAGCCGTCAGGTTAAGCAACTGAGAAAAGGACTCAAGGAGACCATGGTTTGGCCCTTTCTGAAGGAGAGAGCAGACATCATTCCCACATTTCTACCAAGGACTTCAGAAGCTGCTCTCAATTTTCATGTAAAAATGACATCCACACTTGTGAAGTGAAAAAAGGCAAACCAGATCCTCTGTCTATGTCTCCTCTGTTGTCCACAGCAGTAGTGTTATAATTCCTCTTTAACACAAGAACATCATGTCAACTTTGTAGAACTGCACGTACAACTGCACTAAAAGATTATTTTATGACTTTTTTTGCAGACAGTCATACAAAGGATTGTGTGGCCGATCCTGGAGGAAAAGGAGGAAGAGGATGAGGATGAGGACGAATGCTGCTTGGAGGACAAATGCAGAGTCGCAGGATACCTGCGCATCTTCATTGAAAAGGGTATGACAGTAATGAATTATTTTTCTGAAATACATAATGACAAATATAAAACTAATTTCACAAACTGGGCTGTAAAACTATGTACACATGTTGTCTTGTAAATGTATATAAATTGCGACATGCACATTGCAAACCATCACCGTGAATAGTCCTGTCCAAACTTTAATGATGTATTATTTTGAGGGACAAAATGCTGAGGTAGAATTACTTGAGGTAGACAGATCCCTGGGCAGGGAAGCTTAGTGAACAGTCATTGACTGGAATGGAACATTGTGTAATTAGCACTTAAAGGAGTACTTGATAGTCGTTCTAACATCATCATAGCCCACGGATTACACATTTTTGAATGCCTGTCATCCAAACTTTTTAAAGTGTTCTTTGAATACAAAAAAAATAGGTTAAGATTAACACTTTTCACTTCTCCTTTCATAGCATCCTGTGCACAGCTCAAAGCACTCCTCCAATTCTGGACCGGATGGGAACTTCTACCCAGTGAACTGACGCTGAAAGTGGTCAGCAGCGACTTTCCCAAATCTGCAACATGTTTTGAAACGCTCCGTCTTCCTGCACACTGATTATGAAGCTTTTGTTACCGACATTCAGGCCTGCCTCAACTCCGTTGACACAGGCTTTGGTCTTGTTTAGGTTGGACTCAATGTCACATGTATCCCTCATTACCAGGGATTATCAGGTTGTCAGGGTGATGTCTGTTGTAGTTTTGTTGACATATGCCGGATTGTAATTTTGTGGGTTATTGTTGTTCAGCTAAGATAGCTAATATGTGCTAATGTCAGTAGTCACTTGTTGGTTTCCACACTATCTGGCAACTTTTGATCGCTGACAACATCTTCCACAGAGCATTCATTTTGGACCCATCAACATTTAAAAATTGATTTATTCACAGGTAGTTCAGTTACATAGATATCTGAAATGTTTCCAATGTTTTCTGTTCTATGTTTGGGCCATTGTATTTAGCTCGAGATGGAATCAAATAAATAAGTGATCTACAACTTTGAAAGTATTTCAGTTTATTTTGAATGACTACTGTTCTTAAAGGGCTGCATGTATTTAATTCCAGAGCTGTTTAAATAGTTGTTATTGCTTCATTACTTATGCACAAAATATAGTTCGAAAATACTGTTACTGCTGGAGAGGTAGATTTGGTGACAATTTAGGCTGCAGTGTCTACCCAAATAGCCTCCCTATAACATTTCGTTTATAAATGCTCAGCATGCACATAGGGCATAATTTGTACTGAGTTTCAAAGGAAATACCCAAAAATGATATTGAGCAGTCTGGCCTCGAAGCCCAAATACAGCACACTCTTGCCTACAAATGTCCCCGTCATTCTCCAGCAGGTCGTAAGTGCACTGTGTTCAGATTAGGAGGGGTCGGGACACACTGGACTAAACTAGCTAACTTTATATAAAGTAGTTATAACTAGCTCCACCTGGAGCAGCTCCAACAGTAACATGCTGCATCAGAATTTATTATTATTTACATTTTATTGCACAACATGTACTTTTACTGCTGATACTTAAAGTACATTTTGTTGATAGTATGTCTGCACTTTGACTTGTAATGGAGTATTTCTACATTGTTGTATTGGTACTTTTGCGTAAGTAATGGTTTTAAGTACTTCTTCCACCACTGCTCAAATCGTGCGAAGAAAATGTTGCCTGACCTAAGGTTCTGGGTTCAACATAACTCTGAGGGTTTGAACAGTTTCAAGATAAACTGCCAATGCCTGACTGAAAGGAACATGGGGGTTTGGTAGGGCCACTAGATCTTGTTCACTCAATGGGCGCAGGAGCTGGATCTCAGGAACAAAGACATTAGATGCACAGGGGGTATGTGGTCCTTCCCAGTCCACACCATAATGCTCACCAACCTGACATACAAAAGGAATACAGCCGTTCACAATGTGTAAGCAATTACAATGTGGGTCATTTTGCATGTATTTTAAATACATAATTGAGCCAGGGAATAAGATGGCATACATTACATCATCTAAAAAACGTTGTTTACCTGTGAGAAATCTTGTCCCTCTCTGTTGTTTAGTAACCACAACTGTAAAGGCGAACGGTGGCTTGCAGTCCTCAGTCCATGGTGATTCCATGCCTCCTTGAAACACTGAAGATGATGCTGAATATGTGGCATGAAGCACCTGTGTAGTGCATACAGGTCAATCTCTTGGTCAGGGTTGAGTAATCCTTGGGCCTCCAGCTGGATGAATATTGTGTAGAACAGATCAAGAACATTTTCATACACATCTCTCCAAAGGCGCTCAATTCTGTAAAAGAAAGAATGAAATACAGCCTTTATATTGTATTTTTGGCAGGTCACATTATTCAACAGTTAGCAGGATGGAAAATGTGTACAAGGTTCTACTAGTAAGGGCTGATTGACACTTATGTTCAGACTGGAGTGTGAACACAATGATGAGCGAAGTGAGAGCTGGATTTTAGGTAGTGACGAATGAACTTGTTATGAACTGCCAGTAAAACGCCCCGTTATCACCCCCTGCCCCGCCTGAATGGAAGTATTGTTAGACATCTCGCAGGGATCACCAACTACAATTGTCCAAGGGCCAAAATGTATCCAAACAGACACTATCGCGGGCCAGCGATTTTTATATAGTCCACAATGCTAGTCGAGCACGCTCAGGTGCGGACCGCATAAAGCTTAGCAAACTCTTCACGCTAACGAAGCATCACTTCTAGGCAGGTTTGGGAGGGTTACTTTGTAAATGTAATCAGTTACTGAATACATGCTCTGAAAGTAATCAGAATACAGTTAGTAACGTATTCAGATTACTTTTAGAATACTTTTGGAATACTTTCTTTTTCCATAACAGATGGGTATGTTTTGGTGAACAGGAGACACGTATTTTACTATTTAATGGCTTATCAAGAACTCAAACACAACATCTTGGTGTCATTCTGGACAGCTCCCTCTCATCTGCACCACACATAAAAAACATCACCCAGACTGCATTCTTTGTACTGCCTTAAAACTTTCCTTGGAATATGTTATGAATTGTAACGTGTCCTTGGTGCTTTGAAAGGCGCCCCTAAATAGAATGAATTATCATTATTATTATTATTATTATCTGAAACGATGTAATAACTTTTAAAACGTTTTCCAGTCACTTGCCCCAGGCATTCAGCAGCAGCAGGCCATTCACTTTGATTTGATCCCGTTATAAATGTCATCATTTCGACAATAAAGAACTGCTACATAAACGTTATCTTGCACATTTTATCTAACCATCTCCGTTTCTAACTTTCAATATATTTTAAAAGAGATCTCTCTCTCTAATCTGCGTGCGGGGGCGGGGTCTCACAGACACTCTGCATCTCTCTCGCTCACAGACATGCTGCAGCGCTGTGCAGTTATGCCGGTAATGAATATTACATTTTGTGAGGAAACTTTTCCACCAATAATTCCAATAAGTATTCCAAAATGTATTCACTTCAGGTTTACGAAAGTAACTGTAATCAGATTACTCGTTTTTCAAATGTAACGCCAGCTGAATACACTTGATTTTTGTATTCTGATTACGTAACGCCGTTACATGTATTCCGTTACAACCCAACCCTGCTTCTAGGCTACTGTCCCGCAGCTCCTGCCTCTCTGTTGGACTCTGTCGCAGCGGGGCTACTGCTGTGCTGCGGAGCGCACAAAGCAGACTCTTCACAACGAAGGATCACTTCTTCTTCAAGGCAGGGAAGGTTTCGCAGTCTACTGTCCCGCAGCTGCTGCCTCTCTGTTGGACTCCGGTACTGTACCTTACTCACGAGACGTTGTAAAAAAAAAATGGGTGTGGGGCGAACGCAGTAACGCCACAGTCACCCCCGTCGTGCGGGCCGGATGAGAATGTCTGGCGGGCCGGATGTGGCCCGCGGGCCGCCAGTTGGTGGTCACTGTAATGTAGAGGGTGAACAGCAGGGGCGGGGCTTCAGGGGGGGGCTGTAGGGGCAGGGCTCCCCGGGCCCTGGACGGTCGGGACCCAATGGGGGCCCGTCGCCGAGGCAGCAGGCTCCGCCCCCGAGATATTCGGGCGGGCCCTGCTGCCTCGCGCCACTGAGTGCACTGACGTTCGTGGTCATATTAGGTATAAAGCATTGTAGCCTATAATACGAGTTGAACTTGTTCTGCTATTTTCACACTCACATTTAACATTAAAACATGAAAAATGGCAAGTGAATCCCTTCTATTGTCTCCAAATGTATTTTGGGTAAAATCGTCATCAACAGCCGTCCATCAACACCATACGTAAATGAACGTCATCATCAATCACTTGTCATTCAACAGAGCACTGCCTAAGCATGAGCAGTTATAAACACAAAAGTGGAGCTACAAAATGCAAAGAAAAAGATAAAAAAGGAGGACCAAGGAAAAGCCAAATTGTCCAAGCTCGATGGATATTTTTTTCGCCAGCCGTGTTTCATCCCCGAGCCCCAGCCCGCCAACAACGTTAGTGGGGGTTAGCCAGATTTACAGGTAGGCTACAATCACGGCCACACACTGTCAACAAGAAAATGTGAGTTTGTGGTAAATGTTGATATCATATGGTTGTTGTTACTTCGTGTAGCTCGGCCACCTAGCTTATTTCCTTTTCTGTCTCTCGGCTGTAGTGATGATGATAATAGGGACGACTCAGCAGCTGCTAGCTGCTAGCTGCTCGTCTAGAGGAGAGCCAGGCCTGACGCTTGACCAGCCGCACCCCTCCCCCTCCGGCTCCTTACTGGCTGCGCCGCAAGGTGAAGAAGTACCGGGACACTCTTGCCCTGGCTACTAAATGGGGAAGTCAAACACAGTTTGAAACAACCAGGGCCAGGAAAGTTAAGAGACAATTTGATGAACTTTCTGAAGACAGCCGCCTCACTGACGCAGAGAGCAACTTTCGGGTGACCGTTTTCAATGCATGTCTCGATATAATCATCCAGCAACTGTCCCAAAGATTCACCAGTTTAAATGAAACTGTGAACATGTTTGAGGCAATTCACCCCAACACACTACTGCAAGCAAAGGATGAGGATTTACACCAAGCTGCCCAGCGGCTTAGAGAGCACTACAGTCGGGACATCGCCGCCAGCTTCCCTGGCCAGCTGCTTTCTTTCAGAACCTGTTTCAGGGACCAAATACAGAAACTAAAATCTGTCGCGGATCTGGTAAAAATGCTCATTGTTTACAACCCAGCAGTAACATCTACATTCAGTGAGGTTTGCACAGCCTTCATCTTATTTCTGACTCTTCCTGTCACCGTGGCAACCGCCGAGCGCTCTTTCTCCAAATTAAAACTCATCAAAAACTATTTGAGGAGCACGATGGGACAGGAGAGACTGAGTGGACTGTTCTTGCTGTCCATCGAAAGTGACCGAGCCAAGAAATTGGACATACAGCGTATTGTGGACAAGTTCGCGGAGCGCAAGGCTCGCCGAGTACCATTCAAGTAGTGGTGAGTACACTTCAAATTTAATTTGTACAGTAGCCTACTTGTACGTGAATGTATGGGCCGCCGTGCCAATTTTACACTGCTCTGCTCTCATGGTGGCTGTCCATGGTGAATGGTGTGTCAGAAATGTAGTCATTTTATTAGGCTATGTTTTCATTGTCCTTGTGGTTTGTTGGACCTTATGTCATGTTATATCATTATTATCTCTGTTATATATTTCGTTTCTATACCCTTTGTAAAAACGAAATCTTAAAGGGATAGTGGAAATGGAACCTCAAATAGTTTCGTTTTAACTTATATACAAGCATAATTACACCAAAACAATCACACCTGATTAAAAAAATATAATAATTGCCTTACGCATGTTAGAAGCACTTTATTGCAGCTTCCCCGAAGTTTTTTTAGAAACGAAATGTTTCTCAGCCTAACCGGAAGTGACGAAAACTCAGGAAGACGATACGATAACAAACCATGGCGTCTATGCAGAATGAACGTGGAAGGGCAAATATACCAGACAAAGAAGAAGGATTGTACGAGGTATCCAGTGATGATAGCGA